ATAACCGTGTCACCATCGGGTGGCAAATCCCATGTAGAAATGGAGTTGGTTTCTTGCCAGAAAAAATACCGATTATACTGTTCATTCCAATAACGATACCACGTCGTTGGTTGAGGAGGTGGAGGGGGAGTAGAGTAATCGAGAGTATCTCCGGGAGGAGTGGTATCGAAAATGGACGGAGCGCCGCCAGTGTAGGGGTGTGAGGGAGTTTGAGGTTGACCTGCCATGTTTCACAGAGAGGACAACTGATCGGGGAGGAAGAGAGGCTCCAATTGGACCTATTCTGTATCTTGTGCGCTCAACCTCAAGATGCGTGGAGAGCAGCGTGGGAAAATTTGCACGTTGTCAACTAACGGCGTCGGTGACAATATGAAAATTCTGAGGAAATTTTGGGAAAATTCCAGTTGGTTTCTGAACATTTCTAGTTTCATAGTTATTATTTAACTTTCAATAATTAGTGAGGAAACTCTCAAGCCCAGTAGCTGAGGAAAACGATCACATATATTCATACTCCAACACTGTATAGGAAACTCCTGAGCTCAGTAGCTGAGGAAAGCGATTACATATATTCATACTCCAACACTGTATAGGAAACTCCTGAGCTCAGTAGCTGAGGAAAGCGATTACATATATTCATACTCCAACACTGTATAGGAAACTCCTAAGCTCTGCAGCTGAGGAAAGCGATTACATATATTCATACTCCAACACTGTATAGGAAACTCCTAAGCTCAGCAGCTGAGGAAAGCGATTACATATATTTATACTCCAACACTGTATAGGAAACTCCTGAGCTCAGCAGCTGAGGAAAGCGATTACATATATTCATACTCCAACACTGTATAGGAAACTCCTGAGCTCAGCAGCTGAGGAAAGCGATTACATATATTCATACTCCAACACTGTATAGGAAACTCCTGAGCTCATTAGCTGAGGAAAGCGATTACATATATTCATACTCCAACACTGTATAGGAAACTCCTGAGCTCAGTAGCTGAGGAAAGCGATTACATATATTCATACTCCAACACTGTATAGGAAACTCCTAAGCTCTGCAGCTGAGGAAAGCGATTACATATATTCATACTCCAACACTGTATAGGAAACTCCTAAGCTCAGCAGCTGAGGAAAGCGATTACATATATTCATACTCCAACCCTAGAATTCCAAATGTTGGAAATTCTGATCCGGGAGCTCAATTTTCCGAATGCTCTGTCTGAGTCGTTTCCCCCGTATTAAAGTTCTGAACAAGATCACGAACTCATACTCGAGAAAACTCCTCATCGGAATCACCACATAAGCATGCAATGCACTTAGTTTGCCTCTTAGTTTCAAAGTATCAGCTCTACTTGTTGAGCTAGTTACAGGTGATATATGGTAAGTGTCGCAGCAGGCCAGGGTCAACTCTAGCACTACTGCTTCAGCGGTCCAACCATTCTTAGAGTAATCAACGGTTTTTTTTTGCTAGTG